AGCAACCACAAAAAAAAAAAAAAAAAATGGAGACTCACCTATCTTACCTGTTGGGAAACACAATTCTAAAGGGATTAAATATAAGAGAAAGTATTTGCATAATATCAAACAAATCAGAATAAATATAGATATTTTACAGATGAAAAAATTTCCTCCTCTACCAATAGGCAATGGAATTGTTATTGCAGGACAGATCAGACTACATTTGGGAAACAGAAATAGTTGTATGTAAACAGAGTCATGCATATGATAGAAAAAGCGTATCAGGGAACTGTGCTTTAGCACTGGTAGACTCATTAACTAAAGCACGCTTCCTTAGCATGGTCACTGCAATACCCTGACAACTTCCTTCCAGTTTCTTTATCAGAATTTTGTTAATATGTGGAGAATAAAGGGAGAATCCAGCTTCCATTTTATGGTGGCTGCCTAGCATCTGAGTATCTGAGTATGACACCAGTATTTATGTGATAGATACAATCAGTAAAGCTCATGGCTACAGACCACAATAAAGGATTTCTGTTCTTCAGTAAAGGCACCTTCAGCATTAAGTCTATTTTCTGCATCAACCCTCATAATACTATGTTGTATACTTAATAAGTTCCCTAGTTTTCCTGGATTTGCATATTGTTTGAAAATCGGTTTATGATTCTTAAAGAAAAAATACTCTCAGATACTGGGCACTGCTTTAAATTCAGTTGTTAATGTTATTAGTGGTGGTTTAAACAGAAATATTGTTTGAGCCTGCATGCATTTCTTCAGGGGGAGTACTAAAGAACTGAATCCTTGGCTCTTGATCCACTTTCTAGACTGGTTCTAGACCCAGAAAGAAAAAGTGAACTCTCACATGAGTGGTCTGGCTGTGATATTTTGAACCTAACTGCAAAAAAGTCCTAAAAGCAGTGGACCATATGCAATGTCTAATTGATTAATCTTACTCTTTGGGTATTTCTGTTATTTCTAGTAAAAAAGAATCACTAAAAAAATGGTTTCTGAGATTTTGTGTGTTGACTATGAGCCCTGGCCTGACCTCAGCCTTGAATTTAAATCCCCAGTAGAAGTCTGAAATTAATCCACCTCTGGCTTAGTTATCAGTAATTATAATTATTAACAGAAGTACCCAGTAAATGAATGGCTTTCTGTGACATGGTGTTTTAACTTGGAATAATGGATAAATAAAAATGCATTTCCTTCTTACCTTACAGTATCTTTTCCCATAGTAATGCAGGATCTGGTCCTTACATGGGCATGGCAAAAGACACGAGCCCAGCCATTTACCTGTACATGTATGCATTGGCGCAAACACTAACACTTCACATATTACAAACCTAAGCTGTTGAAAACTGCTCCTCCTGTACCAGAGTTGATGGTTTGAAGCTTGCTTTCTCTGCAGCTCATCAGCAGAGCAGGGCATGAACAGCAGAAGCAGCTGCCCTGGGAACACTGGCACTGGAGCTCCAAACCCTGCCTTGCACATCAGTGTCCTCAGCACATGCTGCTCCCTTGCGAAGGCCATGCTTTCACCACGTGAAACCGTCTGAGAGAGCTCCCAGACTATCCCACGGAGGGATTTAGTGTCCTCCTATGGTCTCTCCCATGCAGTATGAAGGAAACCTGCTGTTGGGAACTATCTGACCTGGAGCTAGATCCACCGGCAGGAGCAGACTCAGAGGAAACTGTCTGCCAGTTCAAATGCTTCAATTTCTTGAGGCACTTCTGTCCAGCTATCTGCCCATAAGCTGCTGTACCCTGAAGAGGTTTAATGAAGCTGAAAGGAATACTTTCTGCCTATTGTCACAGAACTCAAAAGCCTGGACCATCACCAAAACAGGAAACAGAAAACCTAAGCTGGGAATCCAACCGAACAAATTGGCTGGATTATAGCAGTGTGGGGAAAGCCCAGCTTTTATTATAGCTGGATTGCATGCTGCTCAGCACTGCAGGCAAGCAGAGCACAGCAGCAGTAGGAAATGACCCTGTAGGGAGCAGCCTGGAAGCCAAACATGGCATAACCCAGAGAGGACAGTACACAGAAGCAGGGAGGAGGCAAGGGTAGGGCGGATGAAGAGTTATAAGGAAGAAGCCAGGAACAGATTTGTGAAAGTGCCTAAGGGACTACAGGGAAATGTCGGTTTCTTTCAGGACAATAGGAACAGAAGTGAAGGGCACAGCTCTGCAGCTAAATTACTGAATAATACATAAATTACTGCATGTGCATCATCGTGAGTCATGGCTCAGCAATTAAGGGCGTGGACACCTCTCCATACATCCCAGCTGCAAGTTTTTGTGTTTCCTCCCTCCAAGTTTAAGCTTCCATGTTTTTCTGGCTGGGACACATGCTCAGTCACTGCTCTGTGGACATGCAATAACTCGATGGGCTCTCTTGGCTCAACAACCCAAATGCCCATTAAACTCCCAAAAATTAGTTAATTAAACTCTAGCTCAAGCTTTGTCTTATGAGGCTGATCTGCTGCAGAAAAACAGAGCAGGTGATCATGAAATTAAGGATCATCTCATTGTGCACAGACAGAAGCAGCACAAGTAACTCCATTCTGCCATCCCTTGGCGGCTGAGTCCCTCGTATGGCAATGTTTATTCTCCTTTAACCCAGACCTTTGAATGCCATGTCTATGCTGATATATCAATATACGAACCACCTCTGCACTGAGGGCTAAAAGAAGCAGCAGCTGAAGAAATAGCTAAAATAATTAGACTAGATCCTGCCCTGAGGCTACACCCCTACAAGCCCCAGTGAGATGAATGATGGACCATGAGGTCCAGGGAAGACTGAATTCACAGGGCTTGGGCACCACTGGCTCACTGTTTCTGGAGGGGCTTGACAGAGTAGCAAACTGAGGGAATGAATCGGGGATTTCTCTGGCTGATGGTGCTCCTCCCTGCAGCGGCTGCTGAAGCTGAGAATCGCCCTGGAGGTGTCCTTCCCCTGGACCCTACACAGTGGTCCAGTGAGCCCTAGATCTCCTCCCTCCCCCCTCAGTTCACAGAAGAAAAACACTAAGATGTTTCTGTTGGCTTTTGCATCATCTTTTTGTAGAGACTAATCTTCAGATTCAACAATACATCTTTTGTGAAGCGCTCCCAGCAGAAACCTTAGACACCTTCCCTAAGATCTGTTTGCTTACAGAAGACGAGGTAGGATTTGTTTAAACCCAGCTAGATTAATGTCTTGCAGACATTAGTGAAGTGAGATTTAATCAGGTTATTACTCTACATTTTCCAGAGAAATAAATCACACTTATTACTAGGTTGGAATAAGATGCAAGGCTTGGGCTGAAAAAATTTAGTCTTTTTTGTTTGGGGGGGGGGGAGCAAATGGATAACTTGAAAATTGCTGCAACGTTGTCAAGCAGGGAGCTGAGCAAAAGGCCCTCAACAACTTGTAGGAGGCGAAAGAGAAAGGCGGCTGTAATGGGTAGTGCCAGCCCAGGGGCGGACCTTGGTCCCCATTCCCTGCCTTGCTGAAGCCCAGTCACTCAGGCCTAATCCCATAGGGTCTGTATCAGTACAGAAAGCAGACAGGAGTGTAAAACAGCATTTAAAGCAGACTCCCAAGGTCCATTTGAGATCCCTGGAGACCTCACTTCTGAGTGTCTGTTTCTCCTTGGCACATGGGGACGTCTGCTTGTGTCAGAGGGGTGTTGTGGGATCAAGCAAAGTTTGCAAACCTTCTCACAGACCCCACATGGAAAATGTGATGGTCAGCAGGTCTGAGTGTAGGCATATCCTGCTGCAATGATTTCAAAGGTTTCAAAAGTTTGCAATATGTGTTCAACAACGAACATGCAACTGTATTTATTCACCCTAGACATTTTTATAAAACAAGGCTGGCTAGAAAAAAAAACAAAAGCAGCTTCTTTCAGACCTTTGATTTAAAAACTACTCTTTTTCTCATTCAAAAAAACAGAAAATACTTTGCTCTCAGCTATGCTAGCAGTGTGTATTTAGTACAAATGCTAATACATGCCCTTGTATAAAAACACGGCTGTGCAAGAGACGAAGTTTGGGAAATCAAACAGCAAAGTTTCTCTCCTCTACACCATCATGGGAACAGACAGGTGAAGTCAATACAAATGTTTCTGCTAACACAGGTCTGTCTGCATGTGCTGAAGTGCCCAAAAGCCTAGAAGACTTACATCCATTTCTCCTTACCCAATGGCCTGTGCAAATGTTGGAGAAAGAGTATTACGGTAACAGAACCTATAATCGAGTTTCAAATCATGCAACAAAGCAGCACAAAACACAATGGGACCAAGTCAAAATCTTATTGCGGAGCACAATAAAATATATCCTGTTCGGGATGAAGGAGAAAAGGAAATATCAGGCCAGGCAGCACAGTTGCTTGTAAATACCCTCCTGCCAACACTTTCCCTGGATAAATTAGTCCTCTGAACCCTGACTGCATCAGTATGAATCAGCCTGTCTGCTCCAAGGTAAAGGCTACAATGCTGTTTCATGTTCAATGGGAACTCTTTTCCCAGCCTTTTCTTGGCTTCCTGATTAGAAAGAACAGACTCTCCAGAGACAATTTTGCATCTGGACCACAATCTTGCTCCCTTCAGATAACTAAGTATCTCTGGGCAGGAGTACTTTTAAAGAAGCAGCTGGTAATTTACCGCCAAGTGCTTACTGGCAGGATTTCCCCCTGCTGCTGAGCCAATGCTTTTGGAAACTAAATGACTCTCTGGTGATAATTATCAGGTAAAACCCACAAGCCAGGGGAGGCTCCCTCATTAGAACTATCAGCAAGAAACAATGCAAGGGTGGGCGGAGGATGGCTGAAAATTGTGTCTGAGGGTTGCTTGACTCCCCTGTTCTCCACACAACCGACATCATTGTATGTAATTGCTGGGCATTTTCTAGGTAGTGCTTGAAAGCTACAAAATCCGTTCCCACACCTACAGCAGTAATAAAACCAAATTAACTTTCCCTTCCAGCTAATCAAAATGAACTGAGAAGCACTGGAAATCCATCAGAGCACTTACTCTTTTGGAGGGTTAAGGTCTTCTGGGCGAGCCTCGAAGAACCTGAAGACTTCATCGCACTGTGAAATGTGAGGAGGAAGCCGAACCAGTGCCTGCAAAACAAAACAGGGAGGAAGAATCACTTAGAAAAGTTCAAAACATCTAAACTACCAAGCAAGAGGAGGGAAAACAGTCCTGGCAGGGTGAAGGAAACACAAAAGGAAAGCATCATGCCTGGCTACTTACCTGAGAAGAAAGGAAATAGCACATCTTACTGCAAATGTCAATTAGGAAGCAATGAACTGAGACACGCAATGGTTCTTAAGAGTCAGCCAATGTAATCTTTTTGCCATGTGCAGAAGATCAGAATTTGGTCCACATGTGCAAAACCATAACACTGAGTAGGTAAGTGTTCTGTGGCTGGGACAGTCTCCATGACATGTGTTTGCATAGCACCTCAAACAACGTGGTTAGGACTTACAGGCTTTATGTCAATGCACACAAATTCAAGCAGTGAAAATCTACAGACTCAACACCCACTAATACAACAGATTAATGTGCTCCATGAAGCTTTCCATTAAGCACTGTCAACAGAAAAAGCAGAGTTCGCTAAAAAAAAACCCAACCCAAACCAAACAACAATTTGCTCCTAAATTAACAGGAAAGAAAGTCTGATTAAGTGTCTGGAAAAAAAAAAAGAAAAAAAAAAGGCAGAGAGGCTATTTCTGCATGAAGAAGGCTTCTCAGCACATGCTGGCTAACCACGTTCATGCACTCTGCAAGGCGCAGGTACCCAGCACTTGTTGCACTCAGCAATAGTTAGGCACCATCTGGGAAGCAACCACATTATGTTGAAGTGTACTGGAAAGTGCAACTTCAAACCAATGAGACAAGCATGCAAGGCAGAAATGTGCTATAAATTCGTTATTCAGAATCTAGAGCTTGATGGTGGCGGAAGAGGCCAAAAAGCTGTTCTGAGCCCACAGCGACAGGATAGCAGCTCTAAGTGACATGAGACTCTGAGACTGCCTCCAGAAATGACCAGCAGGAGAGGAAAAGAGGCTGGAATTCACCTCCTCCTGTGCTAAATTACATTGAAAATAGGCCACAGGTAAATACAGACCAAGCTTCTTAGAGGTGCTGTAAACCTGTTTGACAAAATGAGATTGTCTGGCTCTTCTGCTAATTGAAAGTAGGACAAACAATCTTGAAAGACAGATGAAAAACTGCACCAGAGCTAAACGAAGGTGCATTATGGCAAACTGGTTATACTAACCCATGAGACATCTGACTGATCTTGGTCAGACACACCAGAAGGCCCATGCATGAAGCATGAAGGCAGGACAGGGTAGTTGGTTACCCTCACAGTTGTTTTTAACCAGGCTTTAGAAGTGGCCAGGTTTGTTTCCAATACACTCCTGCTTCAGGATATGAAGGAAAAGAGTTGAAAAATGAAAAAATTGTGCTCTAAAATGGCAGGTCTTCATTATTAGATGACAGAGTCTTGTTTTGAGGTGGCCTGAAATTCAAAGCCAAGTGCTTCCACATTTACAGCTCTCCCTTCCCTGGTGGAGGGATGTTATAAAAACACATGGAAAAACCATGCGATATTAGCAGGCCTGTGAAGAATGAGGCCTTTGGCCATTTCAGAAGGCAGAAAAAGATACCTCACAGTAAGGAAGCTGCATCAGATGCAGAAGCTGGGCAACAGGCTGGCAGGTCCAAGTGCCAGGGCATACATAGTAGAGCACTACTGGCCACTGCACTATCACAGGATGAAACATAACAGGTGGAGAACTCAAGTGCTTTAATTTGAATGAAGGATGCTCTGGTCCCCACCGCTATCCACTCAATCTTGCCTAAAAGCTTAACTCAAAGGTGTAAGTTCTCTGTCCTTATTCCTAGTGTGCATAAGCACGTGCATCTAGCTGCCAAGTCAGGACTAACACTAGGCAGTCAGGAACTGCCCGGGAATAGTAACAATCACAGCATGTTGAAAGAGAAAAGCACTGCCAGCACAGGCTAGCAAGGACACAGACAACATTAAAGCACATTCTATTCATCTGCATCTCAAGCAGGAGGCAGACTTACATAGAGAAGTAATGCCATCTAACCAACAGTGGATGGGGCTGAGATTTAGTGATGGCTCTATTACTAATGCCCTTCTCAGTTTGGGCAGGTTACTTAACCTCTTTGCACCAAATTCAGCAGGGATATATCTTCAGCTACCCCTTTACAATGCTGAGCAATAACACCCAATCCACAGAAAGGTTATGAGGCTTAGATATTTAATATCTACAATGTGCTTTGAAATCTCAAAGGGCTTGATCTTGAGCAGTCAGTGGGGCATGAGCAAGCATTGCAAATGACACATATCATTTACTAGAGAAACACAAATACCCAAGTTATACCTATCGCAGGGGGTCCTGGACATCAGACACCTTCTCAAAGAGTCACCACTTCCCTACAGGTCGGAGGTGTTCACCCTTCCCAAGAACCAGGCTACAGATGTCAATACTGAGATAAAGCACAGAGAGTGGGTTTTCCTACCAAGCTGCCATGGAGATTTGTGTTTCTAAATCAAGGGAAGCTTTAGGAAATCTGAACTCCCTGAATTAGTGGTCTACTGCCTGGAAATCTCCAGAACACTGAGGTCCTGCCAGGCCGAAGAGGGATAACTGAAAAGCACCTCCATGACTCTAGGCTTTTGTAGGCAATGGATAAAAATCAAAGCCGTTTCTACACCCAGCCATCCACCTTCCCACCCTAGGGCAGGGCTGGCTCTCCTGCTTCTGAATCACTGCCCAAAGTGCTGCAATTTTCAGCCCTGCGCACAGAGGTGGAATGAAATCCACCAGGTAGTAACTTGCCATCACATGTTTTTCGGGGATCTCAGGTGTAAAGTCTGCAGACAGTCAATTTTTACTTGTTTTTGTTAAGGAACAAAACCCTAAGAAGTGGTAAGAAACATTAAGAAAGGGTAAGAAAGTGCAAATGAGGGTGTAAAACCAGGCAGAGTTGGTCTATTGATTTTGGACAGTGGCAGGGAGCAGCAGCGCTGTTCTGGAAACAAATGTCTCTTCAGCAAACACACAACATCCACTTGGGAGCAAGCCAAATCCAACGCGATTTCAGCGAGTGAACAAAAAGTGCATTGAGGAGATGAGGGACGTGGCTGTCACTGCAAGGGGAAAATGCATGTTTCTGGCATTTCCAGCAAGACAGTTCCAGGGCAGAGTTGCAACAGCCTGAAGGAAAGACTGCAGGGTCAAGGCAAGAAGGGTAAAGAAAAAGAGGAAAACAGATGGTAAAAGGATGGAAAGGACAAGGAAGTGACATTCTTCCTGTGATGTGCAAAGCAGAGGTAAATGCACACAGTTACAAACAGCAAGCATCCAGAAACAGCAAGGCATTTGCACAGGAAAGGTGACAGATAAAAAGTGCCAGCGAGCAGAATTCAGCCTTGCACAACCACTGAGTATTATCAGTAACAGCGTGTTTCCTTGCTCGGCATGCAAAGGCGGGACGTGCACTGCTCAGACCTCACATGCTCCTTAGAAGATGCGCTTTTATGTGTTATTTCAGCCTGTAAGGATGTCTGTCTCTCTATATTACAGGTTTCAGACAGTCTCACGGAGTGGATGATTCGAAAGGCTATTAAAAAAGCTGTAACGTCAGGCAGGACGTGAGCAAGCAGCCCTTGGCACTGGGGACAGCCAGCTACTCACACAGCACCAGCTCATCTACAGGCAGGCTGCTGCACGCCACACATGGCGTTGGAAGCACAGAGAGCACCAGGCACTGGCAGGGGTTCATCGCTTAAGGTTACGTGAAGTGTAGACTGCTCCATGGGACTACAGGCTCAAAGGCTTCACAAAATACATGCACGTGGGTATGAAACCATGCAGGTACTTGTAAGGATGCACTGAGTGCTGTGTGCTGCATTTATGCAGATACATTTATAAAAACCAGATGCACAGACATGTATATGTAGAGATACACAGCGCACGTGTAGGCGTGCGTGTATATACACACAAAATGATATTCATCCTGCTGAACTTTGTATGTATAAAATGGGAGACTGGTCACACTTGTCTATCAACTTGTATAATTGCTAGAGAAAGACCAGCACCTTCAGGGCTACTCTACCCCACCACCTACGTCTAGCTCTGGGTGGGGTGAATCATTGACTGTCTCTCCCCGCAGCCCACTGCGGGAGTTCAGATATACTGCTCTTGGACCCCTAACACTCAGTGGGGTTAAACCCAGCTCTGCACACAAATACACAGACAGCTGACAGTACTGCATGGTTATGACTCCCAGACTTTTTGTATTAAGTATGCTGTTCTCAACTTTATCACTTTAACTTTAATCATTAGTGCCAGACATTTGGGAATGACAATGAGTCCAGCAAGGGGGAAGGTGCAATTAAAATAGTTCATTTCTCAGAGCAGAGAAATAAATTGTTTCACTTACGTGAAAGCACTTTCCATTTTGAGAGCCTCAAGTAAGTCCAGGCAAAGCACTGAAGTGTGGAGGTCTGACTGCAAACACTGAGTGTCAGAGACATGGATGAAGAGTACATGGTAGTGACTCAGACTGGAGAAGTGAGGAGATGTAGGAATAAACAAATCACTGAGGGAAGGAGAAAAAGAGGGTGTGGAGTTTTGGAAATAACTGGTACGTAGTTCTGGTCCTCTGGCATGGAAGTACCATAAGTCAATGGAAAGAGAGGCTCTACTCCAGGTGCTGAGGGGCACTGCAAATAATTAACTCTCATTACTGTAGCTGGTCTAAACATATCAGGATTCTGAAATGTAGATTAAAAAATGACAGATAAAGTTTGAAAGTTTTTCATTAAAAAACTTAAACTCTTTAATTCTTGACCAGGACTAACTATTACTCCATCTTCAATCAGCACTAGTTTAGTTGTAAATTGATAGAGACAGAATCATCTGTGTATCTGTCTTGACAGGTTCAAGGATTAAACCGTGAAAGAGAGGCAGGGCTGAGAAGCCCAAAAGGGAGGTAATTATGTTTTTGAAGTGTGATCTCTCAATACTGTAGACATTGCTAAAAGAATGACCAACATTTCCTGGCACTGATGTGACTTGCTCATCTAATTCTTATTTAGGTGGCATGCATTTGTATACTCAAGCCTCACTACAGAAAAGCCCGTAACCCTCTACTTAAATCAGCCGCCAGTTGGGACAGCATAAAGGGATGTGACAAATTCAGGACTTCACATCTTAACAGCTTCCCTGCACAAACATGCTCCCCTCAATTAAGACCAACATGCACAAAGGTGCAAGTCTGCAAATGCTGTCCTGAGTCTCCCCAGAGGGCTGCATAGGGAGAGAGTGGTGGTTTTGTGAACCACCAACCCGAAAGGTCCTTCTTGAATACAGGATGGTACATACTGGACAAGCACACACCAGAGGTGTGTTTGGGAGATGAAAAGCTTAATAAATAAAATGCCCCTGGCAAGGCAAAGCTATGAAGTCATTCTTTCTTTCACATTGGCAAAAACTCATAAATAAATTAATAAAACCAGGCCCAATGAGCCCAGAAGACCTTAAATCACACTAAACTAATTCCAAGCCTATAGTTAAGAGGGAAATTATCCAGAGATACTAATTCCAGTGGGCAGCATATATTTACTGGCAAAAGCAGTTGGTTTGGTAACTCACTCAAGTTACCAGCAGGGACATCCAGACTCTGCACTTTCATGCTTGCAGATGAGAAAAGTCCTGGAAATCTTCCCTGTGTGTCCCAGTCCTCTGGTTTTCATTGCAACTTTCAAGTTCCTTGTGGCCTTAGTGAAAACACTGGCCTAATTACCTCTGTGATGGCATTTCTCTAAGTTGGTACAACGCAATGAACAATCACCCAGGCATGAGGGGTCAGGAGGCCCATGCTGTAGGGTCCAGAGGGCTCATGCCCCTGATGCAGAACATTTTGCAGACCTCTCCTTATGGCCAAATATCCCCACAAACTCTCAGCCAGCCTCTGCCTGTCACTGCTCCTGTGCCCAGTGCAGGAACCACAACACATCCAAACAGCAGAAGTCAGACCTGCTTCTCAGTCATGCAAATCACCATGCTCTGTCTGAGACAGTCTGCAAAACCAAAACCAAATGGTCGAACATTTGCACCACCCATTTGTCAGGGCCCATCTGTGCTTTGTTTTTCCAGGGCAAGTGAAATGGATGGAGAATCCTCATCTGGCAAAAAAATTACCACAAATTTTGTATCTGAACCTGCCTCCCTCCTCTGCTTCCTCACAGATTCCAGTAGACAAAGGTTTATTGTCTCATTTATTCATTTTATTATCCCAAGTCCGATTTTCTCCATCAATTTCACCCACATCATTCCAGCATAATTCTCTAAATTTTTCAAAATTAAGCATGTTGTCTGCCTACCCATTTTAGGACTGGCATGGGCCATAAGCTTTACACACTTTTATAGAAGCAGGACTGAACTTGTCAAAATTATGTTCTTGCTCTACAGTTCTAGACAATTCTCTAAAGAGTCAAAACATCCACTGCACAGAAGAAATGCAGACAACAGCTAACACTTCCAAAGAGGTGGGCATGATCCTGCTCTCAAGTCACGCATATGCACCAGTAGCTGCTACACAGTAGGAAAGAGTAGTGAGTAATATTATTTCATTAAAAAAAAACCCCAAACCCCTAACATTTTCCCTACTTACACCAAGAAGGGATTCATTGCATTTCACTTCAGCATTCCAGAAGTTAGCATCAGAGCTAAGCGAGTCACTCAGGTTCTCTCTGTAGTTACAGCTAAATGGAGAGAGACCCTGTGGCCACTCTGGTTTAGATTAACCACCTAATTTTCTGTTCCCAGTTCACAGCTTTTTGTCATTTGTGGTTAACTTCATATAGGGATGGAAAGATTACAGTAAGGTTTTGAAGGTCATGTTCCCAGAAACCTTGTAAGTTGAAGGTGACCTTCAGCAAAGGTGGCAAGAAAGCTACATCCCAAGGGGGGTGGATGAGTTAGCCAGGGCCTTCTTTTCTTAAAGACCTGACAACCCATGCAGAAAGACACCAAGGAGGATGTAGCTCTCTTGAGGCACTCACAGAGACATGAGATGCAATGACTGCTCAAGCTTTTCAGTGACTATGAGCCTTGCTTTCCAGTGCTATCCAGATTTAAACATCTACTGTGATGTGCAGAGGCAAATTAAAGACAAAATACTGTAAACTGCAAATGAAATAAAGACACTACATAAGGCACAAGAAACTTATGAGCCAGAGATCACTGGAAACTGGGATAATATTCTGGAGAAGTCACTATAGGTTTGTCATGCACGTTGCTGGGCCCACTGTGGCTGCTGCTGGAGGTGGGAAACACTGGCCTGGGAGAAACTGGGGTAACACACCATGGCTGGGTCTGTGCTCATAAAAGCAGCACCTATTAATAAATAGGTTAAGTAAACAGCTTGGCTTTAGGCATGTCTCCAAGCTAGGCATCTGCCCCGTATCATCTGAACCAGAGTGAAACCATGCTATGATTCTGTGAACTGAGCCAGATTTCTCCAGGAGAGAAAATAGGAAGCGAGGAGGGTGACAATCACAGTGCCATGGTGTCAACGAACATGCCAGCGGCTGACACCACAACATATCCCTTGGCTGTGACCGGCAGGGCGCCAGCAAGCCCAGCCAGGTCAGGTCGGGTCTGTCTGGGGTGCAGACAAAAGGGTCCCAGAGAAGCAGCTGCCCCCAGCATAAGTCACCACTTTTCCCACCACGCATCTGCTGGGTGAACCCTGACATCAGCCCTCACTGCTCCTGTCGCAAGCAGTTCCTGTCTGAAGGAGGGCGGCTGGGGATGCAGTAAGAGCCTACATATTTTAAAGATCTTTGGCCACTGGCAGGAAGACAGTGCACTATTTGTCACACAAGAAAGACTGATCTCATGAGATAAGACTTTAATTGCAGTTTCCTCACCCGGGGGGTGCAGATGGCATGGGTTTCACTGCCCCCCCCTGCAGCACGCCGCAGGCACTTTGGTGATCTGCTCCCAATTTTGGATGAGCAAATGTCTGACTGGAGAAGTTCTTGGGAATGTATTTTTTTCCCCTCCACCTGCTCCTCTGGCTTTCTAAAAACGGAAAGAAAACCCCACAGGAAATAAGAGAGGAAGTCTGGGGTTTAAATTATGTACTGACTGACGCGCTTGATACCTCTACAAAACTGGGTATCTGCCTTGCTTAGAAACGACATATAATCCACTGTCAGAGGATTAATTATCATAAAATCATAAACTCTAAGCTAGAAAGGAAAGATTAGGTGACTTAACCTTCTTCTCAACTCAGCCATGCTTTTCTGTCCTGCAATACATTTCCAGTCTTTCACTCATCAAGGCAAAGCACTCCTGGAGGACACTGGCCCACCCCTCGTGCAGCACTGGGGGACAGATGGGCAGGGAACAGAAAAAAACACCATCTTAGTCATGCCCTCTCTGCTTGTTCAACTCCTTCATTCGTCGAGGCTGAAGTAGAAATAAAATCCAAATTTTGGGCAGATGAGGCTTATGGCCTTTACTGAGTAAAGAAGGCACCAACCTGGTTGCATAAAGTTTGCAGAGTAAAATGCTGAGAGGACCCTGGGAGCAAACAGAGGACTGTTTTCACCTGCCCTGTTAGTCTTGGTGGTGTTTGGTAAGGACCATCCTTCCTTATAACGGACACAACACAGATGAAGCTCTCAGTAGTAACCGTCAGGGAAAGCCCAGCGCTGCGGGGCTGTGAGCCCCCATGCAGCAGGACTGCTAGACACCTTCCCCAGAGCTCTTACCCTGCAATACTCGTCGATGGGCTTCAGCCTCTTCACAGCTACGTCTCGGACATGGCTCCTCCGGAACAGGATCTTGCCTGAGGAGGGAACAGATGAAAGGGGAGGGTTAGGGGCATCGTCTGCCATGCAGGGTAGCACAACAGCACCGAGCAGAAAGCTCAGCAGATGGGGTTTCATCCCCGGCTCCAACTACAGCTGTCAGCAGCGGTGGTGGCTGAGCTCTGCAACCCCATTATGCCCCCATCAGAGGAGTCCCAGTAGAGGAGAGATTTGCACAGCAGCAGCTTTGTTTGACTGTGACCCCACATTGCTACAAGACAGGCAGGATGGAACACCCGGAGGAGGTGTGAGCAGCAGATCTGCTCCTGCCCTTGCAGCAAACTGCACAGAAACATGCTGTGGGGCAGGCAGCAGAGGGACGCGGGGCAATACCTATGACAGAAGCATGCATGGCACTTCACGCAGCTGGATGCTGCTGGTCTTAAGTTTGCACAGGAGATGCAGCACACAGCCAATAACTACCACAGGCACAGCAGCTCTGTGAAACCTCGGTGACTGCCACCAAAGTCCCGCTTGTATGAGCCACTGAAAGGGGACCACAGTGACTCATGGGGCAGAGGGAGTTCTTCTAATTTCATCCTGTACTTAATGCAAAAAATTTTTGGTTCCTTTTTAGTGATGGCATCATCCTGGAATGGACCAACACCATCTTATGACTCCCTTCTACTTCGGGGCCACTTTGGCACATCCATGCTGGCAGTGCAGCAAGCATCGCTGGGTGGGATGCAGGCTCCATCTGCACCCCACGCCTCCCCACTCAGCTGCCTCCCACTGCGGATGCTTCTGCCCTTGCAGGCAGACAAACCACACAGTCAGCTCTCAGGCAAATAGAAGGACTGGTGACAAGAGCCCTTGTAAATCTACAGAGGGAAACCAAATAATAGAAGAAAAGTAAACAAACTCTCTTTTTTTGAAAGTAAAAAAAAAAATAACCTCAGTGTCCTTACTGGATGACATTTCTGCAAGCAGTTAAGATTAAATAAACGACTGGGTTTTGTGTGAAACTGATTGTAACAAAGTTTATCAAAATAATCTAGGAGCTGAGTTTCCCCACACACAAGGATGTCATAGAGTTGGTATTTTTTTGGCTAGAAGGGATTATATCTTCATATCCTTTTTTGGTGGTTTTCTTCCCTTTTTCTTTTGTGCTGTATTTCTTTTAATGAAATGAGACAAGAATAAATTATACGTTCTCCTTGTGGTGGAAGAAAACAGTATCTGCCAGCATTATTTAGTGCATGAAATGTCTACATAAAAAAACCACTGACATATATACCACCCCCTGCTCCAAACTTCTTCTGCCAACAGGCAAATGAGATACTCATCCATAGATCATGGGATAAGAAAATGGAATAGGAAATGAAATCAGATCCAAAATCTGAATATGTGCCTTTGATTCTGTCATGATTACACAAGCTGAGAAGTTAATGAAACGGCAGCCTTTAACAGTCCAGTAGCAGAGGCTTTAAACCCTCCCAGACTCTGCCCCTTTTGGTTGCCTTTTTCTCCATAGCTGCTAATCTGGAAGGTGTTAAGGCCTTTTGTTTCAGACAGGAGAAAGTGGTTTACCTCCATCTCCAATTCTGGCAGCAAAACAGTTTGTCCCGTGAGGTAAAGTAATTTCCTAGTGCCATAAATTTATCTCTCTGGGTTCCCTGTGGTTATCTCATTACAAAGCTGGTGCTGAGCCATCCCTGTAGGACGTGATGGCATGCAGTCACAGAGCACAAAGGAAATCTTCAATAGGTGTCTGAGATGTTCATCTGAACTTGAGCGATTTAGCCAAAGGCTGCTGAAGAAGGAAGGTGGCACTTCCATCTCCCTGCACCAAACAGCTCTGGACACACCAAAACCTTGCTGCTTTCCTGCTTCTCTGTCTGGTAATGGGTAGAAATACCTGCACTTCCAAAATATTTGTTATTATTTGTAATAGCCTCCAGGATCACATTGTACTTGTACTGCTTGACTGCAGTAAATCACTTTTTGGAGGGCAAGGGGTTAGATGTAGAGAAGACTAGTTCCTTTCTCAGTGCTCCAGAAATGCCGGTGTTGGGAGATCTTGGTATTTCTCTGCAAGTTTTATAAATATACTGAGAAGAGAAAGCAACATTTTGGAAACATTCTCACTTTCTGGCTTTCCTGTTTTCAGTTCAAGCCACGAGTCGAAAGTCGAACTGGTGACCATATAAAAACATAAAGAAACCAGAGACTTAAACACATTAAAGATCTCCTGTAAATGCAATTCAGCTTTCCTAAAAAGACAGTTTACAGGGAGGCCCAGTCTTCAAAGTAACATAATAAATGAAAGACTCAAACATAAGAAACAAGATAAATATAATAAAGAACGTTATATTAAACACAGAGTACAAAAAAGACCCCAGGATGAGTTTTAATTCAGTCCTTAAATGGAGATGGAAAATATCAGGATGACTGTGGCGTTAGGACGAAGCAAAGCCCAGAAGGTGCTTCCATTTTTATCCCTTCAGAAAAAGGAAGATTTTCACTCTGCTATTGGAAACTGGAAAAGGCCTGACAGGGCTGTGGGGAATATCTGTAGCTGCCCAGTCCAGTATGGTATTCAAAACTGAGATCTGGAGAAGGTTGAGTAGTTTAGAGCACCATGGAGTAGCAGTCAACAAAGGAAAAAGCAAGAAAAAAACCAAGGACACTCCGCAAGCACATCCAGTTCTGATGGCAGGAAGGAGGGACCTCGTCACAAATCCTGGGGGTCCTCAGGCAGAGAATTCTCATTGCCAGAGGTACTGAAACACCTCTAAGAAGAGACAACTTCCAAAATGCTTAGCTCCTCCCATTTTCTGGGAAGACAGACTGTGCTGACAGAAGCTGAGCCAAAGCTGCCACAACTGACCAGCAGGAACCACTGCAGATCCACTATGAGTTACTACTACTTTCTCCAATTCCCCCATTTCTACTGATCTTCCTCCAAAAGCAGGACAGGTCCCATGGGACTGGAAAAGGAAGGTAACCCAAGAGACATATGATGTAACTCTTTACGCTCTTCAAGTGTGCACACTGGACACAGACCCCCTTAATGGAAAGCTTCGCCTAACGAGGTAGGTTTGGTCACCATAAAGAAATGAAGAGCAGGCAGACAGCCAAGCAGCAGGGAGACGTAAGAGCCAGCGAGGAGCCCTCAGAACACCAGTGGAAAGGAGCATTTCACGCAGTGCTAATGTGAAGTGGGGAAGTCCCGGGGTGGCCAGTAAATGTAGAACAGCTCAGGCAGGAGTAGTGGTTTATATGCCCCTTGGCTTTTCCTCCGGGTAGTTTCCACATCTCTAAGGAAGGGATATACTTCTGTGTGAGTACATACAGTGCTGCTTCCTCTCTCCTGAATTTTACTGCAGCTCGTTTAAGCTTCCTCAGGCACTACACCCCCATTTCACAGAAGGACGAGCAGCTTTTTAACCATGCTGTAGCCCAGCTAGGAAGTAAACGGGAAGTCTGTCTCAGACTCAGAGGGGAAGCTATAGGCTACACGGGATGGCACTGCCTCATGCAAATATTTCATTCACTGATATGCCAGGCTTAGACTGGGCCAAGGGAGGCCTGGCATGTTAAGAAGGACTCCGACGACTGCAGCACTGGGAAAGAAAGACATGGGGAAGACACAGGGCTCCAGCCCTGCTGCTAGTGCAGGATAACAATATTTATTTTTATCCTTTTTTCTTTAAAGAAAATATTATTCCTAGGAAATTAATGTGGGTAAGAGGCAAAATATCAGGTTTAGCATTGTAGGGGCATCTTAAGTCATCCCTTCATCTCTCTGTATATACATAAATGTAGTCTTTAATTCCACGACCACACACCTCTTCTCCCACAAGACCTCAGTTTCCTCCTGTATACACAGCGGGTGCACAAAGTGGGAATAATAAAGCTATGCAGGAGACTGTCTATCTGGCAGCTGCTGATTCTGCAAGCTTAAAGGTATCCTCTGAATATCACACTATTCCTGCATAACCTCATACTTGAGAGTAGCACAGATTTTAACAAGTGTCATGGACCCCAAGAACAAACAAGCTAAAAAGCACCCCACTCTCTGGTCCTTCCATTAGTCTACAGGTCTGTGCTGAACATGCCAGAAGGCTCTACAGCCTAATGCTTTGTAATAGTCAAGGATGTGGTTCATGCAGGGAAGAAGCCCAGCTCCTGCTGATCTTGGTCACACTGTGGAGCACAGTCTGAAGGCAGGACAGCACTGGGCATCACTAGGCAGAGAAGCACTGGAAGTCCCTGAGGGGATGCCAAGCAGGAGAATCCAGTCTTTCCTCTTCAAGGGAGAGGGTCATAAGCTGTACAGCCCCTTCAATCACAGCAGATGGCAGCTGCCACAGGACCTACTACCATGGACCAATGGTTTGTAAACTCTAAGCTCTGAAACAAAACTCCTAATCACACCTTTCACTGTCAAGGAGATGTGCTGCAAATCTAAGCCTGGAGATGTCTGCATGACTACCACAGCGGCTCAGTCCCGAGCTGCCAGCTTTGCTGCTCTTTAGAGCCAGGCAGTGAGTGGGAGCTGTGGCAGGGGCAACAGTGAGGCAGGGAAATTGCTGTTTAGGTCCTTTACAAATCTACCAGAGAAGAGATCCACCTCTTGCTCTTATTCTCTGATTGCTGAGCTTGAATCTCCTTTCAAGGGACATCTGGGCAACAGGTTGGTCTAAGGTCACCAGTTGTTTCATGCAAGGATCGTCTGTCAGAGGTTAGGAAGAGCCCAAACCCACACTCAAAGGGACAACGGTCAAATGCATATTCACATTTAATCTACTCAAGTACTGTCACCACACTTCAGGGGGCAGTACATGAAGCAAGTCATAGGATAAATATTCAACAGTGGACAGCCTGAAGATTAATGGGCGCATTAAAAATACTCCAATGTCTCGTCTGATCTATGTTTAAAAGAGACATGTGCTGCCTCTGACTACAGAAGCACCAGCTGTGGAGGCTCTGTCAGTCAGCTGTCTCCTAAGAGCAGGGAAAGGCTCCTGTTTCT